TTTTTTTTTTTTTTTTTTTGCTTAGAAGAAGCTTGGCTTTATTGTTTTTAATAGCAAAAAAGTGAAACTAAAATTCCTAATAGCAGAGAACAAATTATTATATTTTGGTATTTTTACATAATGGATTTATGCTTCAGGATAAGAGTGAACTAATTGTATATGTTTCAATGTGGATATGAAAAATTTATTTATAAATGTCAATATGTGTATAAAAAAATTTGTAAATTTGGGTATGCAAAAATATATTTACTGTAAATTTCAAATATGCAAACCAATTCTATTCATTGTTTATATTTAGTCTCATGTGAGAATAATAGATTTTAACTTAAGAATAGCTCTGGGAAGAAGTTACGCCAGTGGGAGTGAGGAAGAGTAATTGGATTTGGGGGGATTGCAGAGAGGACATCAGCTATATCTTCAATGTTCATTTTATAAAAAAAATCAGGATAATGTGACAAAAGTTGACATTTATTACATTTCAGAATGTAAGTATTTGCTACATTATTTTTCATTCCTTTTCTATATTGTTTGAAATATTTCATAAAGAAATTGTTCATGGTAGATAAGGAAAATACTTTCAGAGTCAAGAGAAAAATAATGTTGTCAACAAAGTTCCAGTTAAGTTATAGTTAATAAGAGAATATTTTATTTGCTTAGAGAAATAGAAATAGGCAAGAGTGAATGCATACATATTTTATTTGGATACTCTTGATTTTTATTTGAAGTGTATTTTGTTTGAGGACATTCACAAACATATACTTCATTAATTTGCATTTCATGAACATATTTAATGGTGACTTTTTTCTTTCTTTTTTTTTTTTAGGTGAAAAGCAAGCAGCTACTCATGTAAGTCTTGATCAAGAATATGACTCTGAATCCTCTCAGCAGTGGCGAGAACTTGAAGAGCAAGTTGTGGCTGTGGTTAACAAAGGAATAATTCCGTCCAGTTTCTATCCCACACAATATTGTTTGAACAGTTATTCGGATAACTCCAGATTTCCACTTGCAGTTGTGGAAGGTGATATGCTTCAATTTTATTTTTGGTTTTTTGTTTGTTTGTTTTACTTAAAGCAGATTCAAGATAATTTACTGTATGCCATACATTTCCAGAGGCTGAGGATGCAAAGATAAATTAAAAACCAGTAGTTTTCTGAGTTGCATTTATAAAATCAGTGAGGGCTCTAATATAGGTATATGCAATGTGATGCTAGGATATAGAAGAGGAAATGACATCCTTTAGTAGAGAGAAATTGGAAAACTCTTTTAGAAGAGGTAATTTAAAAACTGAATCCTGAATAAATGGAGCTTTATAAACTAGAGGACAGTCTAGGCAGAAATGAAAGCAAGGTCTGTTTAGAACTTTAAAGCTTAGAGTGAGGGGCGAGATTTATTAAAGTTATTAATGTAGGTCTTTCTTTCATAGAACCAATTACAGTGGAAGTGGCTTTTAGAAACCCTTTGAAGGTTCCACTTTTGTTGACTGATTTGTCATTACTTTGGAAGTTTCAGCCTAAAGATTTCAGTGGAAAGGATAATGAAGAAGTTAAAGAACTAGTAAGTTATTAAAAGGTATTTGTAATAAGTACATTTCAGTTATAGTCTGACAGATGCCATAATAATATTTCTCCTCCTTCTGTTATGTGAGTTTTACACAATCTTTTTTTGCTTATTTTTTCTTTGTTTTAAAAATTTGTATGTGCTAGTGTTGAAAACTGAGAATACAGAACTACATAAGATATAAAAGTAAAACTGTATATTTTTAATATTTAGAAATAACCAACTTTTAACATTTTGCTGTCATTTCAGTCATTTCCATTTGTATCTTTTTGGCTTGGATTTGGAATTTCCTTATACGTGTTGCTTTTTTCATTCTATTCATTTTCTGATTTTCAAACATCTGAATATTTTATTTTTACATAATTATTCAATATGTGTATTAAAAAGTTTACACTATAAGTTTAAATATGGGTATGAAAAAATTCATTTACTATAAATTTCAAATATACAAACCAATTCTATTCATTGTTTATATTTAGTCTCATGTGAGAATGATAGATTTTAACTTCAGAATAGCTCTGGGAAGAGCTATACCTATGAATCATCCATCATCTATGTATCCTCCTGTTATCTGTAGTTGTTTTGGAGGTTTCTGTTTGTATATTATCAAAATAGTTCAGTGGTTATTTTTTATTTTTTTAATGGGGTGCTGGGATTAAACCCAGGACCTCTTGTATGCTAGGCAAGCTATCACTGAACTACACCCCTACCCCCTGTGATGAATATTTTTGTGCATAACTTCTTAACCTTCAGAATATTTCTGTAAAAAAGATTTCTAGGTGCAAAGTTATAAGAGTTTTAGGAAATACATATTTTAATTCTCGATTTTGCAAAAGGTCATATCGACAAGCTTCTCATTTGCAGCATGTGGCGTTGGGTGTCTCATTTTTGCAGCACTGATTATTATTATTTACAAAAAAACTTGGTTGATCTGATAAAAATATCATCTTACTAATTTATTATCCATTTCATTGCTTTCCAGTGAAGTCAGTTATTGTATTTGTATTTCCTATTTTCTGCATTGTCCATTTAATAAGTTTCATATATATATATATATATATATATATATATTTATCTTTTTCTTTTATATTCATGTCTATGATAAACCTTTTGTATATATTGTACTAAGGTTTGGACTCAGGGACACTCGGCTACTGAGTCACATCCCTAGCCCTATTTTGTATTTCATTTAGAGACAGGGCCTTACTGAGAGTTTTAGTGTTTCACCATTTCTGAGGCTGGCTTTGAATTCAGAATCCTCCTGTTTCGGCCTTCCGAACCTTTTTAATGCAGGAATGATTTGAACAAATGATTTTTGTTACCAGCTGATTGTAACAAATAACTTAGACGTGTGTGTGTATGTGTATGTGTGTGTGTTTCTATATTTCTTTTGAGACAGAGTCTCACTAAGTCATCTGAGGCTGACTTTGGATCCTCTGCCTTAGCCTCTCTAGTAAGCTGTGTTTATAGGCATGCACCCCCGGGCCTGTTTCCAAATATATTTTTTTTAGCTAATAATTTATTAGGTTATTCACTAATATCTTTTATACAAATTTTCACTGTTTTGTACTTCCCCCCACTCCCATATATATATGTGTGTATATATTTTTTCAACATATAGACATTTATTTTTTATCCCCACAAAGTACCTTACAGGTGTAGGAACTTCAGAAGAGCTGGCCTCCATGCAGGGACTCAGCATTACTGATGGTTTTGATCTCGTGGCTCCTCTAACTATATATGTGGTTTCATGATTGAGACAGGAAAGGAACACTAGAACTCTAGAATCTTGCACCAGAAAATAAATGCTTTAACCCAGACTATATGTTTTATATTTTGAGTCTGGGAAATATCCCAGCATTTTGGTTCTGATCTGTGAAGAGAGAACTAGAAAGATATCTATTTGAATTTTTAATTTGAATTTTAATTATTTAGACTGTTTTTGTTCTTGAACTATTTTGATTTTTTTCCTAAAGATTACATTATTTAAAATGGTTAAATGGTTAAATTCATTGATGCTATTTTGTGATTATGAGAGTATGAACTACTGAAATTTGGAAAGGTTTTAAGAAAGATCTATTAGTTTTATAAATATATTAATCTGTTTAGCATTTCTTATTTTAAAGGAAGTTTATTAGGTTATATTAAAATATACAGTACTCTTAAACAGTTGCACTGTTTCCTATAAATTTCAAATAAGATTTCTTTTTGGGGGGTGGGGGTGGTGGGTAGTTTGCTAGTGATTGAATTCAGGACTTCCCATATGCTAAGTATGTGTTTTGTCATAGAGCTAAGGTCCACAGATCCCAAAATCTAGATTTATTTAATGGGCTTCTTCTGGTGATGGACGCAGATGCTGAACTGGAATTTAGGGAATGTAATTTTTATATTTTGTGTCAAATAATTAGTTTGATGGTAAAAGTAAAATAAGGTTTATGAGAATCAAATTTACCTTCAGTGTGAGCTAATTAGCTGTGCTTTGCCATCTGACTATAGATATTTTCTCTTACTAATGTCAGTGGTTTGGAGGAAGCAGGTCTGCCTTTCTCCCACTGCTCTTGTTGTCCACCTATCTTTTCTGCATCATGCCTATTCTAAGTATAATCTTCCTTTTTAAAATATAATTGGCCAATTTGGAAAAAGATGTGGTTGGACAAAAAATGGAGAGATTTGTTCTTATGACAATATTAAATACCATTGCGGCCATTATTAACTATGAGCAGTTCAACTTTTTCTCTTAGTGTTTTATCCTCTTGGTGGTTGTATCTTCTTCAGTTGAGTTGGTAGAACAAAATGAAATGTACATATCAAGTACCCACTACAGCATGACCCCACTTTAGGGGTGGAAATAAACACTTTTCATGGAGCTTAGGAAATAGTAAGAACCTGGAAATGGTGGCACAGTGGTAAAGCACTTGCCTAGAAGGTGTGAGGACCTGGGTTTGATCCCCAGCACTACACGCACTTACAAAGAATCTAGTAATGATGACTTTAATTAGTTATTATTTCTTAGTATTGGTATATAAGAATGTTAATAATTCATTAATATTAAGTATTAATAATATTTTATTAGAATGTATATTTTTAAAAATAACTTATTTTTTAGATTACAGGTGAACCTGAAATGATTGGAACTGAAGTTATTTCAGAATTCTTAATTAATAGTGAAGAATCTAAAGTGGTAATTGTTTTTATCATTTTTCTGTTTTTTGCTTTGCTAAATAAGTAAACTGAAAACATTTAAAAATAAATTTAATGTATCTCAATGAAATTATTTTATATCCTAGTATTTTTAAGAACTAAAATTTAGATGATCAGGAAACTGAAATTACTCAGGAAGAAATTGGTGGGAAAGTAGGTTTCTAGTGGTCTTTGATTAATTTCCTAGGAAACCTGGTGAAAAGTTTTCACTTCCTTATTAGTTTCAGTGTGGTAATTTCACATGATATTTATTTGAACAGCATATTTAGATTTTTATTAAAAGTATTATTGACGCTCTTGTATAATTGTTGAATTAGAGATTTTGTTTTGAAAAAGTTGCTTCTCAATAAGAAATAATTGATATTTGAAAAGTTTAGGTCATGAGTTTTTATTTCTGCAACATTACAGAATTTAGGTATTGCACTATTTAAGATATTATGAAAACATAATAAGAGTGACTTAAATATCTCCACAGGCAAGACTAAAGCTCTTTCCCCATCACATAGGGGAGCTGCATATATTGGGAGTTGTTTATAATCTTGGCACTATTCAGGGCTCCATGACAGTAGATGGCATTGGCGCTCTTCCTGGATGTCATACAGGTAAAGTTATAGCATTGCTAAACAGTTACAAACTAATACCTAAATCATTCCATAGAATAAAATGGACGAAAATGAGGTATTTTCTAAATAGGGCAAATGTATCTTTAGATAAAGCATTTAGGCAGATGTAAGAATGACTAATTTATTTTAACCTCTACCATAGCTTTAAAAAATAAACAACTTTTTCCCTTCTATTTTCTTTTGATAATTTTTTTGTTATTATCCAAATGTAGTAAATTCTTAGCAAATAATTTCTAACCATTTATTAAGATGTCTGCTGCCAATACAAAAACCACTTTATTGTATTCTATTTTTGAATATATCCTTTTTAAAAAGCATTGAACAAATTAAAAACCATTGTTTTTCACTTCATTGAATATTAAACCCTTGAAATTCTGTTTTCTGTCCTGATACAGACTGGGGTTTTAGTGTTAAATTGATATATATATATATATATTTTTTTTTTAAAGAGAGAGTGAGAGAGGAGAGAGAGAGAGAGAATTTTTTTTTTTTAATATTTATATTCCAGTTCTCGGCGGACACAACATCTTTGTTGGTATGTGGTGCTGAGGACCGAACCCGGGCCGCACGCATGCCAGGCGAGCGCGCTACCGCTTGAGCCACATTCCCAGCCCCAAATTGATATTTTTGATGCCCTATAATAGAATGTTTTACAATTTTTTGAATATTATAATATACACAAACTTTATTATATATTTTTTTAAAATTCAGGAGTCTTTCAGGATCTAATATTACCTGATAATTCAGATATGTGATTACATGAGTTTAGGTTGAAAAGATGCTAGGAAGGGAGTTCACTATAAAACTCTCTATCCCAGCCCTTTATTTTAGTAGATCTATCTTATAACAAATTAAAGTGACTAGTTATTGATAGATGTGAATTTAGCACTTATAAAAGTTTTTATTTTTGCAACATTACAGAATTTAAGTATTGCCCTATTTAAGATATTATGAAAACATAATAAGTCACTTAAATATAAATATTGGGAAGTTCTTCTGGAACATTCAGAAAACTTGATCCTTTTAACCTCCTGTTGAATATTCTGTTGCCTTAATATGTATGATAAATTCAATACAAAATTAGAAAATAAGTGGAATGAACTCATAAGTAAAAAGCTATAAACAAAAAAAATACACTAAAATTGAGCAAGGTGTACTGCATTTTTATACTATATTTATATTTCTTGTTTGACAAGTACCAGACAAATTGTTTGTAAATTATTTTGCTGTTTTATTTAGATAAGTGGGTGTTAAAACTTTTTTGGGGGCGGGGGTGGGCGACTTCCCAGGGATTGAATTCGGGGGCATTCAACCACTGAGCCACATCTCCAGCCCTTTTTTATGTTTTGTTTAGAGAGAGGATCTCACTGAGTTGCTTAGTACCTCACCATTGCTAAGGCTGGCTCTGAACTCTCGATCCTCCTGCCTCACCCTCCCAAGCTACTGGAATGATAGGCATGCACCACTCTGCCCAGCAAGAATTTTTTGAAGCTCTTTTCCCACTTGTGCAATCTGACATCTTGACCTAGTACCACAGAGTTATGGTTGTCAGTAAAATATAGCTAAATGTTTCATTTAAAGGCCAAACATAGGCATTAATATAATTTATATGTAATTGTATGGCATTAGTAGGAGGAAATTATGAATTAACTATTGAAATAAGTCCTATCTTAAAAACTGAGTTTTCATGATTTTTTTTTTTTTTTGGTACTGGGGATTAAACTCGGGGGTACTGGACCACTGAGCCACATCCCCTGACCGATTTTATACTTTATTTAGAGACAGGGTCTCACTGAGTTGCTTAGCGCTTTGCAGTTGCTGAGGCTCATGATTCTTCTGTCTCATCCTCTCAAACTGCTGGGATTTCAGACGTGTGCCACTGCGCCCAGCTTCATGATGTTTTAATGTAGTTTAGTATTATATAAAATGCTAGTAGGGAACCAAGTCAAATGTAGTGTGGGAAATGCTACATTATATATCTGGCCTTGAACCCTTTAGAGTAACTTTCAGCACATTAAAGGCTTTGAGTAGTCCTGCAGGAAAGAGAGTTGTGTACCCTTTTTCTTTTCTTTTTTTTAAATACATATATGTACTGTATGGAAGTCTTTGGGGAAAATATCACATGAATATTAAGAAAGTTAAAGCTGTCTATGCTATATTTAATTTTCTTTGTTCAGTCTCTTGAGAAGATATGTTTATTTATAGTCCTGAAATTATTCAGGTTACTATATATTCAAATATGAGAAAGTGAAAGATTGACCTGTTCTATGTTTTCAATTTTTTTTCATTTGAATATCTATCTTGTGATAGCCCAATTAAATATTGGACCCAAGATATTCTCAGAATTTTTTTGATTAATAAGCATTATGGTTTAGAAAATACAGGTTTTAAAGGACTTCTCTTCAGTGATTTGTAGTCTTTATGCAACATAAGTAAATCCAAAAGAGATGAAAAATTAAGCAGCATAATATAGGTGGTATTAAACATGGAATTAAAATATACTTAATTCTTTGATTAATCATGTTAATCAGTAATTGAATTACCTGAAATTTAAGTATTCATATATTCAAGTTAAATTCTTGTCAGTTAATATATCAGATTATTTTAGGGCATTTGGTTGTTTTTTTATTTCAGGAAAACATTCCTTGAGTATGTCAGTCCGAGGGAGACAGGATTTAGAAATTCAAGGTCCTCGACTTAACAACACAAAAGAAGAAAAAACATCTATTAAATATGGTCCTGATCGACGTTTAGACCCTATAATCACTGAAGAAATGCCACTATTGGAGGTATTTCACTTCTTAAAATGTAATGGACTTAGTAATTGACATAGCTGGAAGATACTTTAAATAAATTAATTTTAGACTTTGAAGTTGTTAACATTATATTGAACTATACTTTTAAAGTCTTGTTAGGCAAATTTTAAAGAAATTTAATTTACAAAATAAGGTAATTATATAAATTCATATTAAGTCACAGCCAGGTTATAAATTTATAAACTTTGAAATAATAGAAATTGGGAATACATTTCTAGCAAACATTTTGGTTATTAAACTCATTGGCTTTTTTGTAATTTGTCAAAATATTATGTGAATTAATGCTTGTAAGGTATTTAAGCAAAATAGCAGTATTTTGGGAAAAAAAGCAGTATTTCCTTCACCCTCTTATCTCACCCTATCCTATTTTCATATAGTATCAAAGGAATTTTAGTTACAAAATATGTCAGAGTAACAAGAGAAGGAAAAACATATTTAGTTGGAAGACATTTTAATATCAGGGAAATTAAAGTATTATGGGACAGCAAGTCTCAAAGAAGGGGGATTCAACTGCTCCAGAGAATTTGGGAGCAAACATTTTAAGCATCTAGAAGGATTTGCTTTTGGAGGTGGAGTGTAATGGGGATTGAACCCAGGGGCACTTAATCACTTGGACATTCCCTAGCCCCTTTTAAGTTTTTATTTTGAGACAAGCCTTGCTAAGTTGCTTAGGGCCTCATAAGTGCTGAGGCTGACCTTAAACTTGAGATTCTTCTGCCTCAGCCTCCCAAGTCACTGGGATTACAGGCGTGTGCTACCACACCTGGCAGAGAATTGCTTTTGATATGACTGTAGTTCATCAACTTCTAGTCTTTATGCCATTTTAATATTTCAAGTTTCTGGAAGAGAAAAACAGCCCATCTTGGATCAAATTTCTTACCTGAGTGCAGATCAAAAGTAGAGTTGTGTCATAGAAGTGTATAAATATGAACACTGGAAGGAGACCCTTCTTCCTGCATCTTCAGGTTTCCCTAGTGGAGGTGTGTTTTATCTTTTTATGCCTTTCTTGTGCACTTAATTATAGTTTTAATAATTATAAATACAGTCATACTACACATGAAAATGGTGATGAGTGATGTGTGTGTTTGTGTGTGTATATGTGGGTGTATATGCAGTGTATGTATTCTACCCAGATTTGACACTTACTCAGTTATGTTGCATTTAAATGTAAATAAAAGGCATATGGACTAGAGCATCATTTTCTGGTTGAAAAATATTTTGTACATGTTTAATCGTTGATCTGCTGTCTTTGACCATGTTGAGGTTTTTAACTTACATGAAATCATATTGGATAGTTTTTTACTTTGTTGGATATAAGTTTTATATTTAACAATAGGCTTCCTTAGTCAAATTACAGATTAATTTTTTTTCACCCTGCTGGGGGTCAAACCCAGGGCCTCTTTTATGATAGGCAAGTGCTCTATCATTGAGTTATATCCCCATCCCCAGTTTTATTTATTTATTTTTAATATCTGCGAGTTTTAAATTTGGAGAGTGTATTTCTTTTTTTTTTTTTTTTTGTACCGGAGTTGAACTCAGGGGCACTCAAGTACAATGCCACATCCCCAGCCCTGCTTTGTATTTTATTTAGAGACAAGGTCTCACTGAGTTGCTTAGTGCCTTGTTTTTGTTGAGGCTGGCTTTGGATTCATGATTCTCCTGTCTCAGCCTCCTGAGCCACTGAGATTACAGGCATGGACCACCATACCTGGCAAGAATGTATTCTGGATAGCAAGGGGACAGAGATCAAACTTTGTTTCTAGTCCCAATACCATTAATAGGGTATGGGCAACCCATTGTGCTATCTTTTTATTTACCAATATCCCTAAAGTACCCTTTCCTGTTGGATTGTTTTTGTATGCCTCCTATTCTTTTTAGTAATTATTACCTCATTTCTTTCTGTGTCAGTACTATGCTGTTTATTTAATCTTTTTTTTTAATCTGACAAGACAAATTTATTTGATAATCTTTACCTTGTTTTTTCATGCATCTTGCCCAAGCTTGTTAAGTTTCCACAATAATAATTTTGATTAGTATTGCATGGCTATAACTAGAAGTTAAGAGACTGAAGAATAATTTAAATGACAGAATTTAAATGCTACTTTAGGGCTATTCACCATTATAGTTGTGAACATTTGTTTGGGATTGTATAGGTAAGAATTTTTGAGATCTTTACTTTCGGAAGAGAATATTCTGATCAGTTTAGTTGAAGTTGTCAAAATAAATTATTCCTTTTTAAGTGAGTCTGCTAGTTTGTAATTTTCATTAAGCTAGATCACTTAAATGTTCTTCAGTTTTTAAGACTGTTAATATACAAGTAGTTTTTAAAAGCAGTGCTTCTCAGATAACATTGTCATGGATAGAGCTTTACTTTTTTTAATATTTGGCCTTATTGTGTCGCTCAGGCTGGTTTCATATTTTTGGGTTTAAGCAATCCTTTCACCATAAGCTCTTTTTTTTGTTTGTTTTTTAATGGTTCATTTTATTAAATAACTAATCCATAAAACCATACCAGTACACTGCCTTATTAGGGGAAACCATTCCTCCATACCATCTTGTATCTCGGCATAGATTATTCCAGGTGTCAGAACATTCCCTTTTGTTCATTTATTTATAAAGAGGGTTGAATGAAGGTGGAAAGGCAGATCAGTGCTCATGAGGAAAGTTGTGTAAATGTTTCAACACATCCTGGTTTAAATGGAGTGCCAGGGTAAGTTGTTACACATACCACCCATTTTCTCACCCCACCCCTGATCTTGCCCACCTCTTCCACCAAACAACTCCAAGACACCCTAAAACCAAGCAGTTCCCACTCAATTGAGAACAATGGGACAGACATGGAAGATACCTTACTTTTCACCTTTGGGATTAAATAGGTGGACTATGGCCAAAAACAAGTGAAGATTTTTAAGAAAACTTGTGACAGAAATAAGAATGACATCTGAATTCAAACACAGAAGAAAAAAAAATTCTACTGAGGGGAAAATAAAATCTTAGCTGATATTCTGAAAATGCCTGTAAGAAAAAGTTGGGGAATGACCTTTCAGACACAAGCTCTAAGAACCCTGGACACAGCAGGAGCTTTGGCTAAAACAGCCTGGGCCTGCTGAGCCAGATTTCCTGAGGACTGCCCAGTAGACACCACAGATGTCTGGCTCAGTCTGCAGGGAGAGTCCTTCAGCTCCATCACAGAGTGCTCTCCAATGTGTTATAGTTATCCTTAAAGCTCTTCAATTCCAGGAAATGCTTGGCATGTTTACTCTTCTGACTGGAGGGAAGGTATGTCACCTGGATAGTAGTTGGGGAGACTTCAGGGGACTGAGTTGGGTCTTTGGCTGCTTACTGGTGCTGTCGCTGAGAGCTCCCAACTCGTGCTTTGACAACAGTGGCCAGCTCACTCAGGGCCTCTTGATAGCGCAGGTACTCAATCTGGCCAAACACCCCTGTCCCGTAGCGGGCTGTCTCGTAGCCATCCAGCAGGGTATCGATAAGGGCCTTCCGCACACCCTTGAAAGGAGTACTAGTGTTTCGAAGATCTAGCAAGTAGGAGCGGAAATTCTTGCCCATTAAGGAACAGGGGTGCCTGCCTTCAGCATGAAATGGGATCTCAGAAGCACGGATAGCATCCAGAGCTTTCATCCTATACAGATAGTTGTAGCAACTTTGACTTCCCTGAGTTTCCAGTTGTAGCAGTCTTGCATTATCATCTGCAAGGAGCTGAGGTTCATACTTGATATCCTGAACCCTGGATAGTCGAATATCAATTTCCTCTTCCAAGTCCTTGGGGGCATTGTGTCCCACAGGGACATGGGGTCCCCTTCTAGATTTCATTGCAAAGCGCATGATTTGCCTCTTCACAAAAATAAACAGTAGTACAAATACCAGGCTCCCGTAGGCCATCACCAGCACGATATTCACCCCGGAAAGCCAGTTACTGCTGGACGCCATGGCCTCCCTCCCCGCGCAGAAGTGCTCGGGTTTTCCCGCTGCCCTGCCTCATTAGCCCAGGCTCTGCGGAAGCAACGGCTCCTGGGTTCCCTGGAGCTCCCCGGCCATTTCCTTACGGGGGAAGACCGAGCCAGACCCAGCCTGAAAACATGGCGGATGGGGGGGGCTAGGAAAGGAGGACGACGCCTTCCCGCTCCCCCCCCCCCACGTGACTCAGACAGGCAGTCACACTGTAAGCTCTTGAGACTACAGGTGCACACCACCATGCCTGGGTTTACTTTTAGACTTAGTTTTGTCCCTAATTATCTGTCCTTTGAAAGTTTCTTTAATTATAAAATGATGAAAGTTGAACCAGATGAAATTGATTTTAACCTCTGTTGAGCCTGGCACTGTGGCATATGCCTGTAATCCCCACATGACTCCAGAGGCTGAGGAAGGAGGCCATCCTCATCAAGTTCAAGGCCAGAATCAATTTAGTGAGACCTTCAGCAACTTTGTAAGATCGTGTCTAAAAAAACAAGTAGAGGGCTGAGGTATAGCTCAGTGATAGGTACCTCTGGGTTTAGTCCTCAGTACACAACTTTCTTAATTTACATTCATCTTGTTTTTGACAACACTTGTTTGTTCTTTAACCTTGCATATGATAGTTTAAAAAAATTGTTACAAAAAAATGGTGTTAAAAATGCAGATCTTTCAGTAGATCCACTTTCTACACATTGTTCCTTAAATTTAAAACATACAAATGTACATTTATATACCATTTTTTGAGGTATGGAATTAGGATGAGTGACCTTTTCTGGGAGTACTGGGATGGATTTTCCAATCTAAGTTTGATTTGGTCTTTCATGTATTAAACTACATTCAGAAGTTGTTACCTTAAGTTTTCAGTTTTGGTTTCTTCCAAGTGAGAACCTAATGATAATTGTCATGTAATCTAAGAACAGTATATATCTAGTTTTTAGCAGCAGATAAAAAAAACGTTATTAGTTATGCCAGGTTTTGGCCCCATGTCAGTTATTAATTAAAAGCCTGAGGTTGTTTGGAGTACTGTGGGTTTTATAATTATGGATATGTTATCAGATGCTCTTCATTAAGATCCATGGTATATGTTTTTATTTTAAGGATGTATATTTAAGCTTTTTAAACTGACAGTGATAAGGATTATAAGAATGATTGTTATTTTATAATCATGTTAAATTATTTATAGTTTTTCTTGTTCATAAGCTACAAAGTTGTAGAATTTTTATAGATTTGTTTTGTATTTTACCTTTAATAGCTGAGTAATAAATATTTGTCTCTTTGTCTTACTCTGTTCTCTAAAATGGAGCTATTTATTTTTAAACAGCTATCAGAGAATTAATGAAATAGTTGTAAACCTTTAGTAAAGACATACAGCATCTTAAAAACATTACTCATTAGAAGTTCAAAATTTTTAACAGACAATATAATAATGTTTTTTCCCTCCAATGCAGGTGTTCTTTATACATTTTCCTACAGGACTTCTCTGTGGAGAAATTCGAAAAGCATATGTAGAATTTGTCAATGTCAGCAAATGTCCTCTTACTGCCTTGAAGGTTGTTTCTAAACGTCCAGAGTTCTTTACTTTTGGTGGTAATACTGCTGTTTTAACACCACTGAGCCCTTCAGCTTCTGAAAATTGTAGTGCTTACAAGACTGTTGTGACAGACTCTACCTCTGTGTGCACAGCACTTATATCATCAGCTTCTTCTGTAGACTTTGGCATTGGCATAGGGAGTCAGCCAGAAGTGATTCCTGTTCCCCTTCCTGACACTGTTCTTCTACCTGGAGCTTCAGTCCAGCTACCAATGTGGTTACGTGGGCCAGATGAAGAAGGTGTCCATGAAATTAACTTTTTGTTTTACTATGAAAGTGTTAAAAAGCAGCCTAAAATACGGTAAGTATGATAAAATTTTAAAAATTTTGCCACTATGTTTAATATAGGTATACAATTTGAATCAGTGTTTTATATTTGTTTAATATGTATTTTTATTGAGAAATTATTCTCTTCAAAAATGCATATTTTTATATGAAGTCATCCCAAATATATCTTAATTCTAGATAACCAAAAGTAGAAACTATTTAATTACATTGATCTTTTGTCTATAAACTGCATGATTCTTCAAAGTGTGACTAAGTTGTCACGATTATGAAACTAACAAATAACAATGTATTAAAATATCATGTCATTTGTATATGAAGCAACCTAACTACAGTCATTTGTTTTTAAGAAAATTACTTTGTTTTCCTTAGTGCCTCCCTTCAATGTATGAACAAAATATCATTATGGTGTATTCAGAACAGATGATTAGAGTGGAATTAAAATGGGTAATCACTGAAGAAATCATACCTAACTGACTTACCAGAACCTGTCGCCTGTATATTGCACAGCAGAACATTTTATATGTGATAATTCCCTTCTCATTTTTACAAAATTAACTAGGAATAATTATGCTACATTTATTTTATTCAATGGAATGTCTAAATATCTTGTAAAACTTTGAGGGTAAAAATGAGGTATTTATAAGTATGGGTACATTTTAAGTCCTCAGTAAATGGTAATTTTCCACAAGATAATAGAAGGGAGGAGTATTCTGGGCAAGGCAATCAAGGAAGGCTTTCTGGAATGTGGTAGTGGTGAAAAGAGCTTCCAAGGACAGTAAAGATGTCAGGATTTGCATATCAAGGGGGTAAGCAAGAGTGTAGTGGGATGTTCCAGGGAGTGACCATATCTATGAAAAAAAGATTTGTAACTTAGAAAATATAAATTGAATATAGTTTGTTCAGCCACAGTCTGAACTTAGTGTGAAAGAAATAAAGGGAACAGTCTTTGAAATGTAAAACTGTATGGTGAAGAGCTCAGTAGTTGTACAGTAACATTGGAAACACTATCAGAGAAGAGCTATAATTGAGATATTACTGTATGAAGCAAGTTAATAAGCCTAGAGTCAGGGAGGTTAATAGTTTCCTTTCAAATTGAGTAGAATTAAACTAAAGATGGGCTAACTAGTAATTTTACTTTATTGTATCATCTTTGTTTTTCTCAAATATGAATGGTCCTGAATTATCAAGTTTTAAAATCTTTATTTGTAATTAGAGAATGATTTTTAATTTTTAATTAATTTGCATGTATTTACTTCTTCAGACACAGAATCTTAAGGCACACTGCAGTTATTTGTACCAGCCGATCTTTGAATGTGCGAGCTACTGTCTGCAGAAGTAATTCTCTAGAAGATGAAGAAGGCAGAGGAGGGAATATGCTAGTCTTTGTGGATGTGGAAAATACCAATACTGTAAGTTAGTTTAGAGCTGAATTTTGTTTGTAACAAAACATTTGAATTGTTTGCCCTTTTTAAAGTATAAGTTCTTTTTTTACTTCACAGGACAATATAAGCTAGGAATTTGGGAATGTTCATATAGAATATTGGGAAAACATCTTAATTATCTATTAACTCTATAATCTTATCCCTTAGAGTCTCTTCAAATGAAAGGGTCTGCTGATATTAATATAATACATATTTACATGATATATAGACCCTTATGCTAGTGATGTAATCTAAAAGAAATCTCTTAAAGTGCTTTCTAGTCTCATCATTGAGTATATTCCATTGACATAATTAAATTAATGAAATTCTATAAGATTTCATACACAGTATTAACTTAGTAATCCTTTAGTTATATATTTCTAATAGTACTGTTCCTTTTTTTTTTTTTTTAAATTTAAAATGTCATACTTTATTTTAAAGAACACAAGAATCGTTGGGCACATTATTGTGACCCTGTAATCCCAGCTATTTGTGGAGTACTGTTCCTTTAATATAAGGCATTTCCAAGTTTCACCATTTTTATGCACTATAAATAACAGAATGAATGTTTTTGAAGAAGGAAATGTGATCTCATACAACTTTAGACTCAGATTAATTCGGTAGTACAGATACTACTTGAATTGTTAGTATTCTCTTGCTTTTAGCATTCATAAATTTGCAAGGTCGATTTTTTTAGAATATTTAATGTTAGTAAGCTAGTACTTTGATCTTCAAAAATATTAGTTTGTTTATTAGTTGAACAAGAAAGTTTTTAGGGGCTGGGGCTCTAGCTCAGTGACAGAGTGCTTGCCTAGCATGTGAAGGGCACTGGGTTCGATCCTTAGCAGCACATGAAAAAAATGAAAACAAATAAAATAAAGGCATGCTGTCCATATTCAACTACAAAAAAAAATTTAAAAAGTTTTAATCATTTCAAATATTAAAATAGCTCTTATTTAGGAGAATAAAAATATTATATACTGGTTAAATTGCTTCATTTACACATAGGCTACATATTAAGGCTGTATTTTGTTTTTATTGCTTATTTTTTTCCTTGCTTTAATTGAATGAGATCTCAGAAATATTAAAAGAAATAAAAAGTCCATGTTTTAATTAAAAATCGACAACAAATAATTTTTGACCTATTAAATATTGTCAGTACACTTATTGTGCTAGATTTTAATAATGCAGTGCCTTTCAGTATTTTTAAATTTACCACTGGGTGTGCATTCTAGTTTAAAAATACTCAGATCTAAAATGTTTATTTTTCTGTTTAAGAAAAGAATTTAAATAACTTCAACTTTCTGAAATGTGCACAATTACTTTAAGATTAAAAAAATATCTCATCTGGTGTTAATTGGTATGGACTTTGGTACGTCTGAATTTTGTTCTTATTGGAATAGTTTAATTTAGTGCTTCTTCTCTTTTTCATAGAGTGAAGCAGGTGTTAAGGAATTCCACATAGTACAAGTATCAAGTAGTAGCAAGCACTGGAAGTTACAGAACTCTGTAAATCTCACTGAAAATAAAGGTTTGTGCCTTTATTCCTCTTCAAAATAAATTCTGACAACATTGCTTGATTTTTCAAAGTAGTACTATAATATCATAAGATTATTGGTGCCATCCTTAAAATTATCTTTTTTAAGCATTAAATTGTGCTTTCCTTCATTGATGTGATTGTAAACCAAATTACCCATTTTGATCCAGTCTTTTCCATGTTTTTATTTCTTTCTACATTTTTCTACTTTTATTTTTATTTCTGTTCCATTTTTTCCCCCATTTGTAAAATCAGTACCTGAGTATGTAATCACTATGAAAAATTTAAGAGTTTAGAATAGCTATACCTATATTTCTACTACTTTTTGTGTATTTTCATATCTGTAATTCAAACAAAAGAATATGCATACTGTGTCATATGCATTGCCCAGAATATTCCTATCAACTTTTCATCTTATGAATAATATAAGAGTGTCTTATGATTGTAAGATTGATATGAAGCTGAAAATGATAGTAACTTTTACTGGAAAAGAACTGAATGATGTATTTCAAAAGACATAAAAATGTTTATATCCTTAGCCTCACATTAATTCTCATATAATCCTTATAATCTTTATATGAAAGAATTAATTTAAAATCTAGGAAAATTCATGTGTTCAGAGTAGTTTATTATGTTTAATGGGGAAAATTTTTTTGTGGATTCAATGCAAATTATGCTACATTTCTAATTTTGGTCATTAAAATGTACTTATTGGCATTTTAAAAGTGTCTGCAATAGTGGGAGAACACACCCACATAGCAAAGTATGTGCATTAGATTAGGGTCATATATATGAGAAAATACTGAAAGGAAATGAAGAAATTATAATAGAGTGGTGGGATTGCCGCCTCCCAGTATGATTTTTTAAACTTGTTGTTTATTTGGAACATCTCTCACATATATTTTGAGAAAACTTAATTTTATCCTAAGAAGTTAATGAAGAGTGACTTCATTGAAACAAAAACAAAAATGTTTCTAAAGTATTAATTATAATTACAAATTGTTTGACTAAAAAAGTCTGAATAATTAATTAGATTTTACCATGTCATAATCTGAGGAATATAGTAAACTTTTCCCTTTTCTTCCTAGAGGCCAAACTTGCCAGTAGGGAGAAAGGAAAGTTTTGCTTCAAGGCAGTAAGATGTAAGGAAAAAGAAGGTAAATGCATTTTACTTTTATACTTTCTTAAATGTTCATTTTATATTTTGTGGCAATGATATGATTAGTTTGTTTCCCCCTCTTTTTTAGCTGCTGTGCAGTCCTCAGAAAGGTATACCTTTGCAGATATCATCTTTGGAAATGAACAGGTATGCATATGAACACAATGGTATTTGATTTAAAAATTAAAAAAATTCTGGGATATTTGACTATTTTAGCAAAACTGTTGCTTTAGTAGTCCCCACACTCTGTGGAAGGTGAATATTTCAACTGTTGAGTTTTACAACCTGTACTCAATTCCTAAACAAACTAAAACTATAATATGAACCATACCATTTTAGTTATTTAGAATTATTTCTCTTTTGAAAATTTTAATGAGTTAAACATAATTCTTGGAATTTAAAAAAAGCAGAATTATATAAGGGAACTTCTTTGTTAGGAAAAATGGTTCCAGTACAATATATAGATATTAACCCCAGGATATTGGCATATCATTTTATGGTTCTGATACTCAAATAATAAGCTAGACACATTAAGGCTATCTTGTAATTTTAAAGGTATTATTGTTGAGGGCAATAATACTCCATTATAATTATGTATAAGAATCATCTTCAGGGTCTGGAGTTGTAGCTCAGTGGTAGAGTGCTTGCCCTCATGCGTGAGGTCCTGGGTTTGATCCTCAGTACCACATAAAAAAAGAAATAAACAAAAATATTAAAAAATATTTAAAAATTATTAAATATTATTATTTATATATATTATATACATATTATATATATATATAAAAGAATCATCTTGAGCAGTAGTTTTTAAGCTTTCAAAAAATGTTCACTGTAGATCTTGTTAGATACAGATTCTAATTCAGTAGAATGGGGGTAAGAACCTAAGGTTCTAAATAGTTATACTAAGTAATGATGAGGTTATTAGTTTATAGACCCTAGTTTTGAATGTCAGGATTCTAGCTGATTTTGTTAAAGTATAGGCTTTGCCTCCTCACCTCTAAAGCTATGGTTCATTGCATCTTGAGTAGTGGTTGGGAATTTGCATTTTTAACCAATCCTGCAGATAATGTGAACAGGTTATTTGGGGACCTACTTTGAAAAACACTGGACACACATTATACAATTTTGTGTAATTGTATATTATTAATGGGATGATTTTTTTCTTTGTGTTCTCTTTGATAATTCCAAATAACTTTATAATTTTGTACTTCTTATCCTTGACTTTCATTTGATACACCTCTGTGACAATCTTTGACAATTTAAGGAAGCAGCTATTTAGAAATATTTTATGGCTATAAAAGCCCAATGGAGATAATATGCTTTGAATGGTTGAGTTTAGTTTTGGGGTCTTCAGTTGTTTGTTTTGTTTATTTCTTTTAAAAAATCTAAAAATTCCAGGGCTGGAGCTGGGGCTCAGCAGTAGAATGCACACCTGGTGCGTGCCAGGTGCCCAGTTCAATCCTCAGCACTACATAAAAATGAATAAATAAAGTAAAGGTATTGTGTCCAACTACAACTAAAAAAAATATTTAAAGAAAAATCTCTAGAAACATCTGTATGGTTCTTAAATTATATTAAGGTTGTAATTGTTTATTGTATTTATAGTTAAATAACTTTGTATAAGACTACTGTAGAAGGTGGAAACAAAGACATCTCCCTTTTTTTCTTTTTAAAACATTTGTTTGTTTAGGGGCTGGGATTGTGGCTCAGTGGTAGAGTGCTCACAGCATGCTCAGGGCCATGAGTTTGATCCTTAGCACCGCATAAAAATAAATGAATGAAATAAAGGTATTGGGTCCATCTACAACTTAAAAAAAATTGTTTGTTTAGATATACATGACAGTAGAATGTATTTTGACATATATACAGGGAGTATAACTTCTCATTTTTGTGGTCGTACATGATGTGGAGTTACACTGGTTGTGTATTCATATATGAACATAGGAAAGTTTTATGTGATAACATTTCTCCTTTTGACACATCTGGTTGAATAAATAAAACTTATCAAGTACTACAGATTCAGGAGAAAACTGTGGGACAGTGTTTTATCAGAAGGTTTCACTCATAAGGGAAAAATATATTTATTAATATTTATTTATTCTAATCAGTCAAATATTTATTTTCTATCTTATAGCTTAAATCTACATGATATATACATAGCCTGTTAATCATGAAACAATAAGTGCAGAGATTTTACTGTGAAGCATAGTATTCTATTAAAGGAAGTCCTATAGTTCTGAGTGCATTTAAAATTCTTTTCTCATGTTCTTTCATGTCAACTGTAAAAGCCAAGTTAATGTTTGTATTCTGTTTCACTGGATATTGTCTTGTGTTCTATGTATTCGAATAAGAAACACTTTGTTATTTTAACAGTAAAATATTTATTTTCAACATTTTATTGTTTTATTCATCCTCCCTAGATATTTGGAAGTCCATGAGAGTATAGATTGATTATTTTGGAGTGACATCTTTTAAGATGTTGAGTACTTTGTACCATCTTTTAAGTGATCCAGTAACCAGCCTGTATTGAACCAAATTGACAGGAAGTTACTGAATAAGCCTTTTGGGTATATGTAAATTATAAAATTGTAAATTTTGGCAGGGTATCTTTAAATGAATGATATAGAATAAGTTCTGACAAGACATTTAATTAAAAGAATTTACATACAGATATGATTTTCTTTTAACAGATAATAAGTTCAGCAAGTCCATGTGCAGATTTCTTTTATCGAAGTTTATCTTCTGAGTTGAAAAAACCCCAAGCTCAGTTGTCTCTACATACAGAAAAACATTCAATAGAGGATGCTGTGAGATTGATTCAGAAATGCAGTGAGGTGGATTTGAATATTATCATATTATGGAAGGTATGTGCTACTAAATTATTTCAGCAAGCCTCAGTTTTTTCTCCAATGTGAAGTACAGTTTTATTTAAGACATTGCATTTCCCATTTATAATACAGAGCTTACAAAGTGTCATGTTATTTCCTTTCCCTATGCGCATGTTCCATATTCAAGTATTGAGAATGTCCAGTAATTTAATACAGCAACTCTACTTAAAAACTGCCACAGAAAGATGGTGTATGATGGCCTCACAGATATTTGGCTCTCAAGCTGAAAAATAAATGTATACTACTGTTCAGATATTTTCTGCTTAAATTTTTCAGATTCAATATTCCAGTTGTTTTATAACTTACTTTTTTTTTTAACAGTTCCATACAACTTTTAAAACTTTTTGCCTAAAGAATTAATTCAAATTAGATGACTTTTTTCCTGTGTTATTCTTATCTCTATGACTGAGAATATTGTGGATTTGGTAAGCATGTTAAGAGTAGGGGTTTATTAAACTTTTGATATTCTTTATTTTGGAAATTTCCATTTACTTTTGTAACAAAGAAAACATAACATCATGAGCCTTTGGGTACCTTTATCACGGTTTCAAGAGCTATTAATTTCTTGTTATTCGTGTCATCCATTTCCTTTGCCCCCTCCCTCCTTTTTTTCATGTTTACCTTTATTTTTTTGTTTTTTATTTTTGTTACTAGGGATCGAACCCAAGGCCACACACCACTTGTTCTACCACTAAGCTATACTCCTAGCCGTGTTGTATTTTTTGGTTTAGTTTGGTTTTTTCTTGTGCTGAGGATGGACCCCAGAGCCTTTCACATGCTAGGCATATTTTTTATGTATTTTTTAAAATGACGTATTTCATCTGTAAATATTTCTGTATGTACTTCTAGTAGATTTAAGATGTTTTTAGCAGATGAAGACTTTTCTTTTCATTGCTAGGGATTGAACCTTGGGTCTTGTACTTGTTAGGTAAACACTTTACCTCTGAGCTGTACCTCAAGTCCAACATTTTTGTTTTAATATAATTTTTGTTTAATATGATATATTTTTGTTTAATCCCACAATATTGTTCTCTCTCCCAACCAAATCATTTATAATTCCTTAATAATTTTCTAATTGTTCCTCTGTTTAGTTTCCCCAGGTTATTTGAAAATATTATTGAATTTTAAAATACCAGTGTTTTAAAAATTCAGATTCAAGTAGAGTCCACATGTGGTCAACCAGAATTAGTATTTAGGCAGTAGTTTCCCTTAAAATGAACAAAGCAGTAATATAAAAAAACATTTTTTAATAGCACACCCTTTTGTATCATATGCATATATTTTATTAAAAAAATAATACTATTGTGAAATTAAGGATGTTCTTGGACAATATCCTTACCTCGATTCTGTGACAAAGCTGTGATTTTGTGTCACCTACTACAAGAACTAGCGTAGATAGTCCCATCGTAGGTCATAAAATTGATTAATATTTTGTAGACTGTTATTTTTATTAAACCAGGTGTTTTTAAATGGACCATTTTGTTGTTGTTGTTGGGAGTATAGCTTTGTGGTAGAATATTTGCCTAGCATGTTCCAGTCCCTGGGTTTGATGTCTAGCACTGCACAGATTCTTTAGATATTTATACTAAAGAATAAAAATCAGAGCATTCTAAAGAAATTTTTGCATATCCATGTAGCACAGTTCACAATAGCCAAACTATGGAACTAGCCTAAATGTCCATCAGTGGATGAATGAATAAAGAACATGTGATATATATACACCATTGAGTTTTATTCAGCCATAAAGAATGAAACTATGTCATTTATAGTTGATTATGTTGAGCAAAGTAAGCCAGTCCAAGGGAGTCAAGGATCATATTTTTTCTCTCATATATGGAAGCCAGAGAGGATAATGGAAAATAAAGGTATGGGGGGATGGTGAAGGGAGACCAGTAAAGAGATTGGGAGGTTGTGGGAAGGAAGACAGGGAAAGGATTCAAGAGCAGGGAAAGGGAAAACACTGCAAAGTGATCTTGACCAAATTATATTGTTAATTTGTGCATGTACAAATATGCAAAAACAAATTCCATTGTTATGTATAATTATATGCATCAATAAAAATTTGAAAACAGCAAAGAGAAGGTTATAATGGGGGAGATTTTTTATTATTAAAAATAAACTGTTTTTGAAACCAAGCTTCATAAGAGTGAACAACAACAGATGAACTGTTGCTTAAGTAATCTCATAACCCTCATTGATTATAAAAAGTGTTTTATGTTAAAAAGATTAGTTACATCCTATTAGCTTGAAATTAAATGCTTTTAAAGTTGAAAATCAAGATGATCCTGTTTTTAGGTTCAACAGTATTGCCCCTTAAAGTAAACCACCGTTCACTAAGTAAATGTATCCTTGGCATTCATGGCTGTCACTCCAAAGGCTCATGCCATGTAACAATCTGTAATATTTTTGAGACAGGATTTTGAATAATGTATGCTATATTCTGTTCTCATTTTGAAATCCACAATAACTTTGGTTGGGGGGAAAGTTTGATTTTTTTTTTTTTTTTTAAATGGCTCTGAACAAAAAAAGGCCACTACTAGTGTCACTGACAACATGAGGAAGAAAGCTATCTAAAAGTGTGATTATCCTCTATTGGAAAGTGGAAGTTTGAATGGGATATGAAGTTTGATAGTAGCTGGTACTTATAAATGTATTGATACTCAGTTGACAAGTGGCTGGGTAGATTGTTTTTTGAGTGAGAGAATGCAGAAATGACACATTAAATTAAAGAAGTCTTGAAAACTCATTTTAAATGTGGAATAAGATACACAGAAAGAATAGGACTCTTAAAAAAATATGATTCAAGAAAAAACTAAGAACTTAAAAAGTTTTTGTGAAAAAGGAAGTTGGAAAAAGAGGATACAACTCTTAACCAGTCTTTGCCAGAAATAAGTTTGTTTAAAAAATTTAAGCCTTTATGCAGAGAGGAGAATGCATGATGGGTGACTGTTGTTCAGTTTCATGGGACTGTTAGAAAACATGTCTGACATTGTTTCAAGACCTTATTCAGAAAACATGTCTGACATTGTTTCAAGACCTTATTCATCAACCATTCACTCTTGAATTAAAGGTCACCTCCCTATGTAACTCCTGGGTTTCTGGGTTCTGCACATAAGGATGCTGAAAGGGTTCTGGGATATTCTATGCCTTAATGCAATACAATTCAAAAAGTATATACCGTTGGGAGATTGGGTTTTAGCTCAGTGGTAAAGTGCTAGCCTAGCATGTGTGAAGCCCTGGGTCTGATCCCTAGTAAGATAAGTTTAGAAATTGGAAGTAAACACACATTTAGAAACTTTTTTTTTTTTATGTTGGGGGGGGTACTAGGGATTGAACTCAGGGGCACTCGACCACTGAGCCACATCCCCAGCCCTATTTTGTATTTTATTTAGAGACAGCGTCTCACTGAGTTGCTTAGCAGTTGCTGAGTTGCTTAACAGTTGCTGAGGCTGGCTTTGAACTCTGTATCCTCCTGCCTCAACTTCCCGAGCCACTGGAATTCAGGCGTGCACCACTGTGCCTGGCTGGAAACTTTTTATAGCATTTTGACTGAGTAATTTTTTGTTTATTGAATCTAATAGGCTTAATTTTTTAAAGCCAATTTTTTTTAACTATGTTTACATGATGTGACAATAACAGTATATCAGAGCCATTTAAAGATACGTTCTTTGAAACAAGCAGTTAAAGAGGGAGATTTATAAACTGGAACAATTAGTTAATATAGATGAAATCGGCTTACTGTCTTTAGAAGAAAAAAAAAAAGCCTATTAAAGCATATGTATTTATATTTAAGGTGTTCCAAGGACATCACTTTTCCACTGATAGGTTTTATGATTACACTTACTAATTTTTCTCTGCTATGAGATGAACCCTAGGGCATTTTATAAGCAAGAATGTAAAAGGAAACCTTTTCCCTATATATTGGCATTTCAGTAAGGATAGAGGGGCAAAACCATGTGTTATGACATAATTCTTTTGAAGAAGTTTCTTAAGTAGAAAATTAGGAAAAATTTCAAGATTTATCTCTTTAAAACACCCAGGCCAGATAAATTATATTGAATCAAAAGAGGTTTTGGGGGCACAGTCTTTATTGATTGAATGAATAGATAAAAGTTGAAATGCTGACACAGCCATCCAAGGTTATTGATAATTTATACATATTAGCCAAAGTATTTCTGCCTTCCATCAAATGTTTAGTTACTTACTTTTGCAGTTATTGCCAAAGAGGGTAACATTTTTTGCTTTGTGTTTTTAAGGCATATGTTGTGGAAGACAGTAAGCAGCTTATTTTGGAAGGTCAGCATCATGTTATTCTTCGCACTATAGGAAAAGAAGCCTTTTCTTATCCTCAGAAACAGGTAATAATGTAGTTTGTTCTGGGGTTTTCTGTGAACTTGTGGGAGTTTTTAGTTTGATTGGTTTTTGTATTTTGAAGAGATCTGATTTGTTCAGGATTTTATATTGGGGTTTGGGTTGGTTTGGTAGCAGACAACTTACTAAAATTAGAATTGATGGCTGGTGATGTGGATCAGTGGTAGAGCACTTCCCTAGAATGCTGAGGCCTTGGGTTCATTCTTCAGTACCTCAAGAAAATAAAATTTAAAATGAACAGATATTAATTTTAAAGTTGATAAGTACCTATAAGAGTATTAAGATGCATTTATAAACTTGAGTTTTCCTAAGATATATTCTATATTAAATCTAGAATTCATAACTATGTAAAGAAGTGATTTGCTTGAGAGGAAGGGAAGTGTATTCTCTATATTTTATTTGTTATAACAGCACCACACCATTGTAGAACTCTAGAGGACATTATAACATGTAAAGGGTGGCCTCTGGAGTTGTGCAGCAATAGTGTTTAATATGCTTTCTTACTTTTTCTAAAATATTTAATCATGCTAAAAATTTCTTTTAAAAAACTTAATCACTAATAAATAATTTTCTTCAGTTATTTAAATGGTAGTTCTAATGTTGTGTTCATAAATAATTTGCATGGTGTGCCCCTATTATCTTTTATTATTTTTATTTTAAAATAGTTCCCAAATTTATAGAAAAAGTTGCAAGAATAATATATAGATCTCTCTCATACTTTTCACTCAGAATCACCAGTGGTTAACATATGTCTTACTTGCTTTATCCTTTTTTAAAATTTACATGTATATTAATTGTTTTCTTAATCCTTCTCAAGTAGTTATTATAAACTGCAGACCTATAGCTAGCTCTCTGTCCCTAAATGCTACATTGTATATTCCTAAGAATAAAGACAGTAACATAATCAGAAATGACTGTCAAGATAGTCAGGAAGTTCAAAATTGATGCATAACTTGTCCGTGTTCAGGTATCACCAGAGATTTTGGTTATTATATCCTTGTAACTATTTGGTTTTTCCTGTCCTGGATCACACATTGCATTTAGTTGTCCTGTCTCTTTAGTCTGTTTTAATTTGGAATAGTTTCTTACCCTTTTGTTGTTGTTGATTTTTACTTTGACATTTGGAGAGCCTGGACAGGTAATTTTGTAGCATAGTATCTTGTTTGGGTACTTCTCATGTTTCCTTATGATTTCCTTATGGTAGTGTCTACCATATTTCTCCACAATTGTTTTTTTACTTTTCCTAATAGTAAATAATGTATGTGGAGTTCATTTGAAAATGTAAATGTCTGGTTTCTCTACTAATTTTAGCATCTGTTGGTAAGTCTATAACTTGAATCAGTTTTTACTCTGTTGATATTATATAATAGTAATTTTCCATTAGTTTTCTTTTAAGAGAGAGAGAGAGAATTTTAATATTTATTTTTTAGTTTTTGACGAACACAACATCTTTGTATGTGGTGCTGAGGATCCAATCCTGGGCCGCACGCATGCCAGCCGAGCGCGCTACCGCTTGAGCCACATCCCCAGCCCTCCATTTGTTTTAATGGAGATACTAAATTTAATCTCATATCTGTTGCTTATTTTAAGGAAATTAGTTTTCTTACTTCAATTAATATAAAAATTCCAAATTTTAGTTCTAAATGTCATAAACTTTTGGTATTTTGGAGTGTCTAAGACAACAAGACAGCATTTAGAAAATGAAGTTGTATGTTTCTGTAAACTTTAGTTTTATTCTCATTTTACATAGTATATATTGGCATAGCCCTTTTATTTCTCTGTATATCACTATTTCACATATTATTAAAATAGTTTATATTTCCCCTCCTCTTTTTCTCTAATATATATGTAAAAAAACTTGGTAATGATAGTAAATGTTATATATATTTTATACATATATATATTATATGTTTATATATATATCTCATATATATATTTAAGAAAATTTAAACTTGGAAGACAAGGCAATTTTTTTTTTCATAGCTTTATTGAGGTAAAAATTGAAGTACAATAAAATACACATATTTAAAGTATGCAGTTTGATCAGTTTTGACATGTATGAAAACAACCAATATAAAAAGTACTTCCATTACTTTTTTTAAAAATTGAAATCATGCAGACTATGGTTAATGCTGAGTAATGTTCCATTGTATGTGTGTATACCAAAGTTTCCCTATTCATTCATCTACTGAAGGGCATCTGGGTTGATTCCACAATTTAGCTATTGTGAATTGTGCTGCTGTAAACATTGGTATGGCTGTGTCCCGGTAATATTCTGTTTTGAAGTCTTTTGGGTATAAACTAAGGAGTGGGATAGCTGGTTCAAATGGTGATTCCATTCCAAGTTTTCCAAGGAATCTCCATACTGCTTTCCAGATTGTCTGCACCATTTTGCAGTCCCATCATCAATATATGCGTCTGCCTTTTTCCCCACATCCTTGGCAACACTTATTATTGTTTGTATTCTTGATAGCTGCCATCCTGACTAGAGTGAGATGAAATCTTAGTTTTGATTTGCATTTCTTGAATTGCTAGACAGAGATGTTGAACATTTTTTTCATGTTTGTTGATTGATTGTATATCCTCTTCTGAGAAGTGTCTGTTCAGTTCCTTAGCCCATTTATTGATTGGGTAATTTGGTGTTTTGGTATTAAGGTTTTTGAGTGCTTTATATATTCTAGAGATTATTGCTCTGTCTGATGTACTTGTGGTAAACGTTTGCTCCCATTTGTAGGCTGTCTATTCACATTACAGATCGTTTCTTTTGCTGAGAAGAAGCTTTTGAGTTTGAATCCATCCCATTTATTGATTGATTGTTGGTTTTAATTCTTGCGCTATAGGAGTGTTATTAAGAAAGTTGAGGCCTGATATGACATGATGGAGATTTGGGCCTACTTTTTCTTCTGTTAGGTGCAAGTAAATGGATGGAGTTGGAGAAAATAATGCTAAGTGAAGTAAGCCAATCCCATAAAAACAAAGACCAAATGTTTTCTTTATATGAGAATGCTAACTCATAATGGTGATGGGAGCAATCAAGGAACTTTGGATAGGGCAAAGGGGAGTGGGGGCAAAGGGGTAGAAGTGATGGTGGAATGAGTTAGACATCATTACCCTAAATACATGTATGAAGACATGAATGGTGTGAAAATACTTTCTATACAATCAGTAACTTGAAAAATTGTGCTCTATATGTGTAATATGAAATGAATTGCATTCAGCCATTATGTATAACAAATTAGAATAAATAAATAATGTAAAAAATCAAAGAAGCCTAATCAAGAAAAAAGCAAGAAGACAAAAAATTAATATCAATGGAAAGGGAGCTATCAAAATAACCTTTCAGATGCTAAAAATATATTATGGTAATATTACAATTGTATGTCAACATATTTGATAATGTACATAACATGGTCTATATTAGAGAAGGATCCGTGTGCTACTGAGTAGAAAGTGTATTCAGTCATTGATGGATGAAATATTCTATATATATCTGTTACGTCTAAATTATGTAGTTGTAGAGTTTCTTGGTTTAGTTTTTATTTGGAAGATCTATCCTGTAGTGAGAGAGGTGTGTTAAAGTCACCCAGTACTATTGTGTTGTGGTCTGTTTAATTATTGAAGTTGAGAAGGGTTGGTTTAATATACACAAATACTCCATTGTTCGGGACATAAATATTTATGATTGTTATATTCCACTTCCCTTAAGCAATATGAAATGTCCTTCTTTGTCCCTTCTGATTAACTTTGGCTTGAAGTCCACTTTATCTGATACGAGGATAGAAACCCTTGTTTGTTTATGTGATCCATGCCAGTGATGCTTTTTTTTCCCCATCCTTTCACCTTCAGTCTGTGGATGTCTTTGCCTATGAGGTGAGTCTGTTGGAGACAGCATAGTATTGTGTCTTGTTTTTTAATCCAGTCTGCCAGACTATGTCTTTTGATTGATGTGTTTAGGCCATTAATGTTCAGTATTGAGATGAGATTTGTGTTTCTGGTCATTTTCGTTTATCTCTAGTTTTTAATTTGAATTAGTTTCTACTTTGATTGACTGCTCCTTTAGTGTAATCCCTCCCTTCACTAGTTTTCAATTTTTTAAAAAAATTTCATCTTCATGGAATAGTTTGTTGAGAATATTCTGAAGTACAGGCTTTCTGGTTGCAAGTTATTTTTAAACTTTTGTTCAATATGAAAGATTTTTATTTCATCTTCAAATCTGAAGCTTAATTTTGTTGGATATAGGATTCTTGGTTGGCATCCATTTTATTTCAGAGCTTAGTAGATGTAATTTTAGGACCTCCTAGCTTTGAGGGTCTGGGTTGAGAAATCAGCTCAGATCCTTAATGGTTTCCTCCTATTTGTAATCTGGTATTTTTCTCTCTCAGCCTTTAAAATTCTATCCTTATTCTGTATGTTAGGCATTTTCATCATGATGTGCTTTGATGTGGGTCTGTTGTAATTTTGCACATTGGGGATCCTGTGAGCCTCTTATATTTGATTTTCCCATTAATTCTTTAGATTTTGGAAATTATCTGATATTTCAGTGAAAAGATTGTGCATACCTTTGGTTTGTATCTCTGTGCCTTCATCTATCCTCATAAATCTTTAATTTGGTCTTTTCATGTTATTCCCATAATTCTGGGAAATTCTGTTCATGGTTTCTTAGCATCTTCTCTCTGGGGGCCATTTTATTTTCAAGATTACATATTTTGTCTTCATTGCCTAAGGTTCTGTCTTCCAAGTGGTCTAATCTGTTGGCACTGCTTTCTATTGAATTTTTAATTGGCTTATTTTTTCCTTTATAAGGATTTCTGTTTGTTTGTTTTCAAAATCTCTCTTTATTGAAATGATCTTTTGCTACTTGTGTTTGCTCTCTTTTATCATCCTTTACTCTGCAGATCAGTTTAATTGTGTACATTCTAAACTCTTTCTCTGACATTTCTTCCACTGTGGTGCTGATGGATTCTATTATTGGAATATCTTGGTTTGCTTGGGGTGATTTGTTCCCTTGCTTTTTCATGTTGATTGTGTGTCTTCCTATCTGACAGTATGGATCTAAGGCAGTAGATTTTCTACACTGTGGACTTATTAGTGTTCCTGAAGGTATCCAGTACCTTACTTGCTGAGAAGCTGCCTTTCAGTTTCCTTGGTCTCACTCCATGGAGCAGCCAGCAACATGACCTTCTTTATTCTACCATCTTGCTAATCTCCAACAAGGCAGTTTCATCACATTGTGATTAAAGATTAATATTAATGACCTACTGAGAATTGCTTAACTTCATGAAGCTTAGCTTATTACTCACTTATAAAACAATGATTAACAGTACTTTATATATTTTCCCTCTTGTGGTGTTCATAAAATAGAATCAAACCCTTACTGGGAAATTATTGTACAAATTGTGTAGCATTGATTGTGAAGATACTTGTTGCTTTTAAGCCAGAAAAGAGAAACATTTTTAAATATTTTCTCAGGAAATGAGCTTCTGGCTATAGGTATCCTTTATTGGCTGTTGTTCATATATTTTTTTCTTGGCAAATGACATATAGAATTTACTCAGTATAATTTATTTATTCAGCGCTGTGGATTGAACTCACAGGGCCTAATGCATGCTAAGCTTATACTATCACTTAGGTCTTCTACCTTTATTCAGTATAATTTAGAAGTTTCAATTTTTTGGATGACTGGAATATATTCCAACTATGTGAACTCAGTTTTAGTGATTTAGCATCTCTCTGTAGTGCAACTTCCAAGAAGATGATAATATAAAGGACTTGAGTCTGTAAGCCTGAATGACAGACTCTGGAAAAAGGTGAAATCACCAAGGTTAATGTCAGTTTTCAAGTCTCCTGAAAGGTAGGCAACTAACCTATCCAAAGTAGGCATATGTTAACATAGTTAGTGCATCACTCCTGTGTTTTGAGTCTTTCATTGTAAATTTAAATTTGTTTAAAGTCTGAAATAGTGTATTTTATACAAGTGCTTTTTTAAAAGTATTATATTTAGTTACAGGAAATTCTCTTATTTGGTACCAGGGAATAATGTAATCACATAGGTAAATAATATATATCATTTATTGTGTGTTTGGCATTTATCAAGCATTGAGTCAAATCAGTACTTCTTTTAACAATCCTGTGAGGTGTAGGGGGATGTCCTCATAATCTGGATCCTCTTGTTTAAGCAACAAAAGATACACAAAATTTTAATTTTAAATCATATGGTTAGAAGAAAGAAGATAACACAGTTATTAAATGCATGGGCTCTAGGGGTCAAATAGAACTGTGTTACTTAAGATCTTGTGCAACCTTTAATCTTTCTGAAGAATTTTCCTCCTGTTTATTTATTTTTAAATTTTCTTAGTTGTTGAGAGATCTTTATTTTATTCATTTATTTATATGCCTTGCTGAGAATCGAACTCAGTGTCTCACACATGTGAGGCAAGTGTTCTACCATTGAGCCACAATCCCATTCCCTTCTCTTGTTTGTTTTATCTTATTTTTTTCATGTTTTTTTTTTTAATTGGTGCATTATACTTACTTACACATCATGTTGGGAAGTCATTGTTAAATATTTGTACATGAACACAATATAACAATGTAATTTGGCCAATATCACTCCCCAGTATTTTCTCCCTTCCCTCCTTTCCCCTAGTCCCTTTCCTTTACTCTACTGTTCTCCTTTTGATTTTCATAAGATTTTATTTGATCATTAGATGGTATTTTTTTAGTCAATTTCCATATATTTGTGTATCACACGAGTTTCAAGTGTTTTGCTTTTTACATTTTTTTATGGAATACATTTCTAGACATTAAATTGTTGGCCCATATGGTTATATACTTATCTGTTAACACTTACTAGGATATATACTCTTTGGTTTTTTTATTTATTAATTTAAATTTTTAAAAAAATATTTATATTTTAGTTGTAGTTGGACACAATACCTCTATTTTGTTTATTTATTTTTGTGTGGTGCTGAGGATCGCACCCTGGGCCCTGCACCGATAGCATCAGCATGTTATTGGAATATATATATATATATAAGCACTATATATATGTGTGTGAATGACATATTTATTTATATAATTTATTTTTATTGTAAATTTTTATTATATATAAAAGTACTATATATATGTGTGTGAAATATATTTATTTATATAATTTATTTTTATTATAAATTTTTATCACACACACACACACACAATGGTGATTTTTTAGTTTCAATAGTCAGTGGGTTGACTCTGGACCTCATTATTAGAATCAGTACTGCAGTGTTCATTTTTTTTAACAAATTGAATGCTGGCTTTTTATAACCACATAGATTTAGAGGTCAGTAAACTTTTTCTGAAAAAGGCCAGAAAATAGATATTCAGGTCTTTGCTGAATAGGCAGTCTCTGTAAGTGGAATCCAAAAGCAGCTGTAAAGACTTGTCAATAAATGGATGTGGCTCTATTTTGATAAACCTTTCTTTACAAAAACTGGAAGCAAACTGGATTTGGACCATTGGCTGTAGTTTGCCAGTCTTTGGGTATAGGTCAGAATCATACTAGGCTAGCAGGAAATTAAAAATCAAAATTCTTGTGTGTGGGGAGGGTAAATACAATGAAAATAATTAAAAAGGAAATAATACAGGATACTTCTGTTTTCATTTGAATAATAATAATTAATATTTAAAAAGTATTATGTCTAATGCTGACTGTATTGACTTTTTACATGCTGTTAACCTTCAACCAATATAGCTAAAGCGCTATAATCTATAGCAATATTCTTTCAAAATTGAATTTTAAGTCAACCTTAGATTTTCAACTATTTTTTAAAAAATATTTTATTAGTTGTTGATGGACCTTTACTTATTTATATGTGGTGCTGAGAATTAAACCCAGTGCATCATACATGCTAGGCAAGCACTCTACCACTGAGCCACGACCCCAGCCCCAGATTTTCAACTATTGAAACAGGTGCTATGCAATTGAATGTTTACACCCAAAGTTCTGAGCAATTTTACTGAATGAGAATCACATCAAACTTTGATAAAAATCTAACACTGTTTGAACCTACTTTTTTATATGATGAAATCAAGTCTTAAAATATTAAGTAACTTATTCAAGATCACAGAGCTAATTTGTAAAATTGTTGGAATTGAACCCTAACTCCAGCACTAAATGAATAAGTGAATTTATAATTTCAGATCCTGATAACTATTCTGGATTACAGTGCAAATGATAACAACTATTAGTTAATAGCAGAAAACTGTTTATCCTTTATATTCTCTTTACTGGTTTTGACTTCTTTTGTTTGTTTACACTGTACTCCCCCCCACCCATCTTTTTAACAAAGCAGTGTTTTTATTGTCATAAATCTTTTCTTGTCTTTTCCCAGGAATTACCAGAAATGGAACTGTTAAAATTTTTCAGGCCAGAAAACACTGCAGTTTCCTCAAGACCATCAGTAGACCAGCTTTCTAATCTCATTAAAACGAGTCTTCACTACCCAGAATCATTTAATCATCCATTTCATCAAAAAAGGTTTGAGGTTCATTTTATTAGAATGTTCCTATAATATATGCACACAAAGTTACACACTTTGTGTATTATTATTTTCTTATTTATTCAGGCAATGGCATTAACCCAAATACCTAAGAAATTTAGAATAATATCAAGTCCATAGAAATTACTTTTTAGTAATTTACCCTTTACCACAATTACTATATGTGCAGTTGTGCATGGACATTGCCTGGCCATTTCTGAGTTGCTAGAAGTTTCCTTTCTAGGAACAAGGAGAAGAAATAACATTCTTAAATTGTTTCAGTCACAACATGACTCTAGTATGAACTCCTCTAACAATTCAAATTTAGATGGTGTCTTTTCTGAAGATTTATTAAGTGCTAAATTTCATTGGGCAAGATGTATTTGTAATTTTGATATAGACTGAATGTATGAAGTTCTAAAATAAAATGTCTTAAATATGGTGACACTTCAAAAGGCTTCCAATTTACAAATATAAGATGGAGGCTTATTAGAATAAGCCTGTATGTGATAATTAAAGTTATGAGTTTTGGTGGAGTCACAGGGGATAGAGCTGGGGATGGGAAAAGACAAAAAGAAAATGAACAATGATACCTGGGAGATGAGCTTAGGAAAAAGGAGTCCACAAAGAAGACTGACTGAAATAGAGCAATTAAAGAAAGAAAGGACCAACTAGAAGAAAGTGAAATTTCAAAGGTCAAGTGGCAACTGTTCAAGATAGAGAAGTAGTGAACAGTTAAAAATAGTCTGGAAATATCAAATAATATATGGACCAAACTATTTGTTCACTGGGCCTGACAATAAAGTTGTCATTTATGACTTTTGAGAAGATTGTCAGTATTTAGTGGGGTAGAAACATGGTAATAGTAGGTTGAGGAGAGTATGGGTGGTAAGGAATTGAATTTACTGTATTGACCACTCTTTCATGTGGTCAGGGATGACCTTGAATGGGGATCGGGAGAGTATCTGCTAATATCTGTTTGTGTACTAGTTAAGATATGCATATGTTTATAGTCTTGGAAAAAAATGATGTGATACAAGGAGAGTATTGAAATTCTTAATACCTAGAAAAATATACACACTGAAAAATGACAGGATTAGCTTTGGACTAAATTTATGTTGAAACGGAAAGAAGAAAGCAGGAAGAAATTTTAACAAGTCTATGCATTATAGAGCACTTCCATCTTAGGGAGTGTTTATAGGAGCAAGGTGAACTACTCAGAGTAATCTGAGATAAGAGAGTCAAAGGTAGAGAATTTGGAAAAGGTGAAGTTATATCTATTGAGAGGATTGACAAGCTGCCTGAGGACACACTGGAGTTCTGGGCAAAATTAAGACCTTGACAAATGTTTAAGATAAAAAATATTTATAAATTAACTTAAATGGTTCAACCCCCACCCTCTTTTGCATGTTTTTTGAACTTTGTTATCTAAGCTGTATTACCCAGAGTATATTTATTTTATATCCATTTTTTAAATTTAATATGTCAGTAAGAGTCAACCACTGCCAAAACTGTGGGATTATAAGTTTGAATGTAGGAGAATTCATTTATTTACCTTACTTTTGATGGGCTTTTGGATTATTTTCAAATTTGAAGTGCTTTGATTTCTGCCACTGAATATTTTTGTGTACCTGTCCTGGTTCATGTACTTGTCCCCCCACCCTCGCCCCCTTTTCAGATTTGCCCAGGAACTTTCCCAAAGTGATTTTACCAATTTGCAAGTCCTACTAGGAGTATATAGTGGGAGCTCCTTCTGTTCTATACTTTTATCCATACTTACTCTTGTCAGATTTTTAAAATTAGCCATTTAAGTTAATTTAAAAATAATTTTGATCTTCAATCTTTATTGAGGTATTACTATGCAAAACTCATTTTGTGTGCCTTTGTCTGATATAGATGCACCACTGGGAACACCTAGGGAAATTTAAGAAATACAGATGCTTAATGCTTCAGTTCTACTGCAGAGATTTCAGTTTGATGGGCTTAGGTTAGATGCTAGGCATCTGGATTTTCTAAAGTGCTCTAGGTGATTCTAATGTATGGCCAAAGCTGAGGGGGTGGGAGGGCTTTCATATTTATTCTTATTGAACCTGTCTTGGCTTCACATAGCTCCATGCACAGTTTTGTTTCCTTGATTTTTTTTTTTTTTTTGAGGTGGGATTATTGTTGTTTTTAGTACTCGGGATTGAACCCAGGGGCACTCTTATCATTAAGCTACATCCACAGAGTCTCACTAAGTTGCTTAGGGCCTTGCTCAGTTGCTGAGGCTGGCCTTGAATTTTTGATCCTCCTGTCTCATCTTCCCTCGTTGCTGGGATTAATGCATGTGCCACCACACCTGGCATGATACTCCATTTGATCCTGTTCTACTTTATCCATATTTATTAATCCTGTCTTACTTCATGTATTTTCTAAAAATCTTAGATTCCATGATGATTTTTCTCAACCTTATTGGGCTTTACCTTAGAGGTTAGGATATTTAGGAATTTGCCACAACGTCTAGTCTATTGGAATTAGAAGACACCATACGATCTAGGCATTGTAGGGAAGTATGTAAAGCAGGATAGATCAAACCAGAAGAGTGGTTACATGAAGCATCACAGAATCAAAGCTGTGCTTAGAAGTATGTGAGAAAAGTGCAGGCCAGCTCAAGGATAAAATAAATATAAAGTGTGGCGGTTTTTTCCAACCTTGGCTGCATATTAGAATCACTGAGAATTTTAGAAACTCCCATAACTCATGGTAATTAAATCAGATTCTCTGAGAGTAGGAATCAGGCATCTGTATTTTTTGTTTTGTTTTGAGTGCTACTGGGAATTGAACCCAAGTTTCAGGCCTCTGTGCCACATACATTTGGGGCTTAATCCAGAGGAGCAGCAGCCACCCTCTTGTCATTGCATATTTCTAGGGTACAAAAAGTGAATCAAATTACAGGTATACATTTAACGCTTCTGATTGCATCGGAAACATTAAAATTTCATAGGGAAAATAGTCTCACCTCCATAGTCAACATGGATGATACACAATCCCACAGGGAAGGTAAAGGGAATAAATAACTGCTGAACAATTATCACAGTAACGAAGATTAAGAACAATTTTGAAATAGAGACCTGAGTGATTACTCATCCTTGTGAAACTAGAGAGGGTAATTGAGAGAGCAAGAGAAATAGCTGGGAAATAGTGGTCAGAGAATGGGTGACTGAAAATTATTTCAGAGATAGCTTTTTTGGGTGACTAAAAAAAGTTTGTGATATGGTCATGAAAATTGGGTGGCTGAGTTTTGAATAGTACTACAGATTATGGAGATGGCAAGTCAGGGATTTGAGAAGTTGTTGAATGTGAGTCATGTATCTAGACAGTGAAGTTATCCAAATTAACGAGAAGACTTGAGATTGAAAGGGAGAAAGCAAACACATGGCAAAGGTTTTAAAATGAAGCCAGTAGATAATGTGGAAGGGGAAACTACAGCAGTGTCCTTACTTAGGTGCTATGTATCTGCTTGATGGCTAGAACAGGTGCATTTGTATGTTTCACCCTACACATGTCTCATCTGTACCTAAAATATTTCAAAATACCCATTCCTTTCTCTCCTCCCAAAGAATCCCTGCTACTATATTACTATCACTGCTGTGAGTTTGTTAGCATAAGGACAGAAGAAAATATGAAAGCTCTGGCATAGCATTATGACAAAAGAATGAAGGTTTCCTTACAGGAGAAGTAGGAGGAGAAAATCGTCAAGGATTGGTATTGAGAACTACATCAATAATCCCAAGATGTGGAAGATGTTGGGAAAATATAGCATATATCAAGGTGTGATGGCATACCAAATACCAAATACCTATAAGACCAGTTATTTAGAAAACTGAGGCAGATTTCTATTCAAACTGCAGGTTAAAGGTCAGCCTGGGATACTTAGCCAAGACCTTGTCTCAAAATACAAAATAAAAAGAGCTGGGGATGTAGCTCAGTGGTAGAGCAAACCTGGGCTCAATCTCTATACCACAAAAGAAAAGAAATGCAGGACATATTACTATAAGGAAGGGCTATCCAGAAAGTTGTATACCTAGCTAACTTTTAGATGAAGTTAGATGTAGAAACATAGAAGAGATTGAGGATATAGGGATTTGGTATTCCAGAAAAGAAAAGTAGAAATGTGGGAGGGAATGAGGCAGTAGGAGGCTTGGTCATGGCAGTAGAACATTGAAACAGTAAAGAAATGAGAATATAAGAAAGAATAAGTGAGATAACAAAGAAATGAATTATACTAGGTTAAGCTTTTCAAAAATCAAAACTTATATTGGATGGTGTGTATGAAGGTTTAGAAAGTGTATTTACTGGTCATTCTCAGTACTTAATGTGTTTTATTTTACCCAGTCACCACAAAAAACCCAGAAGAGTTAGGCATTATTATTATTATTCCCAGTTTACAGTTGAGCAAAGTAAGATACAGGGTTGCTGTTGAGCTAATATTTGAACTCTAATAAACTGACTCTAAAGCCCAGGCTTTTAATAATAATCAGATAATTAAATGCAGAATTTATGGAATCATTGTCAGCAGTTTGATTTCTGGGCAGTATTTGTGACTTGTCAGTTTAGTAGTTCAGAAAGACTACTTTATAAAGCAGTGGTTTTCAAAATGTTGTTCCAGACCAGCAACAGTAGCATCTGGGAATTAGACATACCGAATCAGATAATTCTAGGAGTGGAACTTTTTTTAATGTGCCCCACCAGATGATATTTGTGCATGCTCAAGTGTAAAAAACACTCATTCGGAAAGATTGAATTGCATCAGCATGGAATCCCAGCTACTTGGGAGGCTAAGGCAAGAAGATTACAAGTTTGAGACCAACCTGGGCAATGTAGTAAGACCCTGTCTCAACATAAAATAAATAGGGGTAGAGATGTAGCTCAGTGGTAGAGCACTTTTCTATCATTTGCAAGGTGCTGGGTTTGATTCCCAGAACTGCAAACAAAAGGCTCCTGCATACGTCAAGACACATGGTAACTTGAACTTGTAAGGCAAATGAGATAGAGTGAATTAATTAATTTTCCAGAAATGCCTGAGAGACAGACTTGACAGGAATTAGTGAAGAAGATTGCAAAGGGGGACTATTGAGGCAATAGGAGGAGTCAGTCTGATGCCTAAATTTTGCTAGGATAAACGTGGGTGCTCTTTACAGAGGTAGTTAATGGAGGAAGAGAATAAGGAATGGAGAGACCAGGAAATATCTATTTGGATATTTGTTCACATTTCTTCTTCTAGTAGCATTTAAATAAGGCATAAAGAATTTGACATTTGAGGATCAAATGGGAACAGAATAGCATAAATTCCTGGGTTTTTGCTTTGGTCTACATTATGCAGTTGAGGTTTAACTTAATGAGATGCTATAGACTGGAAACCTACACATCAGTCTTTGTTACCCTCCCCACCATGTGAGAAATTTGTGGGGGAGCTTAGGGCACAGCACCAACACAACCTAGGGTAGTTTTTTGTTTAGGGATACTGATACTTAGTATTGAGGCATTATATTAATATATTATTATTTACAAAGTAAATTATCTTAAATCATTTTGGAACTTGATTTTTCCCTTACTTGAACATGTATATATTTGGTACCAGGAATTGAACTCAGGAACACTCAACTCCTAAGTCACATCCCCAGCCTGATTTTTTATTTTATTTAGAGACAGTGTCTCATCAAGTTGCTTAGCACCTCACCGTTGCTGAGGCTGGCTTTGAACTCGAGATCCTCCTGTCTCAGCCTCCTGAACCACTGGGATTATAGGCGTGTGCCTTCGCACCCAGCTCTTGAATAAATTTTTAAAGTGCATGTGTTCTGTTAAGATATTCAAATGTGTGTGTTGGTTTTGTTTTGTGGTGCTAGGAATGGAACCCAAGTCTAGGCCAGTTCTGTAGTCTGAGCTATATCCCCAGCCCTGTTAGATATTCGTAAGTGTTATTTTTAAGAAAGCTGCTTTTAAGAAAAAATACACAGCTAATTTTTTGTGTTTATTTTTCTTCTATAGTCTTTGTTTAGTACCAGTCACCCTTTTACTTTCTAACTGCTCTAAGGCTGATGTAGACGTGATTGTTGATCTCCGGCATAAAACAACAAGGTAAAGATTTATTTAGTGAAAGTTTATTTTGTAGCTTAAGATTTAATGTAATTTTAGAGCATTTTACTTTTCTTTTAAATTATTCAGATAATTGCCTTAACATTGATAGAGAAAGTTACTCAATCATGCCCTAATTTGTGGTTTAGTATTACAGAAGAGTTTCAGAGGCATTAAAGTTTCCCCCCGCTAATTTTCAAATCAAATTCCATCATTTACTAGATGCTTTTTGTGGGCATTAAATGAGATAATCTTCTCAAAGTATTGTGCTTAGAAAGTAGTAACTGTTAAAACATGGTAAACATTATAGTAATGTGTTGGTATTATTAATAAACAGTTGTCTTCATGAAATAATTTCTAGAAATAAAAGTATTAGATGAAAGACATCATGGTAATGGGACTGTGGGGGGAGAAAAACCCCTGCAACTTACCATTTTCCTTCTCCTTTAGTCCAGAAGCATTGGAAATCCATGGATCATTCACATGGCTTGGACAGACACAATATAAACTTCAGCTTAAAAGCCAGGAAATTCACAGTTTGCAGCTGAAAGCTTGCTTTGTTCATACAGGTGTTTATAACCTTGGAACTCCTAGGGTGTTTGCCAAGTTATCGGACCAAGTTACAGTGTTTGAAACCAGTCAGCAGAACTCCATGCCTGCCCTGATCATCATCAATAATATGTGACAACTTGCAAATTTATACTGAAATCCACAAGAATCAGTTTAATTTTGCTGAATGGTTTTTACAGCAGTATTTGAAATACCTAACTTTTTGGAGGTTGGTGTCTGATTGCTGCAAAATACTTCAACCTGTCACCTTGTTGATGATGTAAAGCACGTTGGACTGAGAATACTTAAATTCTTTTTTTTTTTTCTTTAAACCTGGTAATAATTTACATGCTCATAATACAGATTTCAACATATCCATGCACCTTATTATGCCCCGTCTTAAAAAACAATGTCTAAGTCTGCTGTTACAACTTGTCAGTGGTATGAATATTAAGAGATGATTTTGAGGAAGGAAAGGCCTTATTGGCAATACTCCTGTTAAGCCATTAGTCTATAAATTCCAGCTTTACTGTGAAGTTCTATAGAGTGTTAAGTACAGTTTTTCCTTGTCTTGCTTCACACAACTCTCCAAAATCAGTTTTGAACTTTGGTTATAGAGTCTTCATATTTCAGTATCTGGTGGTCCCTATGGGTTATATATAACTTTGTAAAGAAAAAAACATTTTTTTTCCTGATGATTTGAAAAATAGTTTTGAAAGGAGTTTGACTTTTTTTCCTCATTCATCTCAGTATAGAGTGCACTATTTCGCAATTTGAGATTTTTGTCATTAAAATCATTTTATTATATTACTTTAAAAATTGAGTTGATCTGTTTAAATATAAATCTACTCAAGTTAATTAAAATAAGCTTTTCAAAAATGTATTATATTTATAACAAATGTACTGTAAATAGAATAAAGACATGCTATTCACTGTATAGATTTATTAGATGCCTTTTTTAAAATCTGGTTTTCTGAAGACCTAATATATTCTTTATTTAAAATAAATGCCAACCATATGCAGCAGGTACCAGCACAATTTCCTGTGAAAGCTTTATCGTCATTGTTTCTGAAAGTGAAATATGGTCTTTGTTCTTAAATTTCTTAAAGTCCTTGGTGGCCTTATTATATATGAACAAATGAATGTTGTCTTTAAATGTTTTGTGTTTGATGCCTATTTACAAATCTGAATAATTCACTTTTTCTAGTGGAAAGGAAGATCAAAGTTTATTGAACGTATTGTAAATAACTACCTTGCTGACTCTGATGCTGGTTGTGACAGACTAGATAGTTTTGTCTTCCTGCTGAGGAGAAGTAAAAAGTTAACAAAAGAAAACCTCTTCCTGAATGTTGCCATTATAATCAGTCATTGGTGGATCAAAATCCAGAGGAGGAAATGCCAGAGAGGTGAAGCCAGCATATTTAGGACTGTTTGCTTTGGGAGTTTTTATCATTCAGGAAGCAGTGGCCTAGAGATGCAGTCATATATTTCACGTATTTTGAAGGTAAGAACTGTATATATCAGGAAAAATAATATAAATTGACGTAAGGAGAGAAAAAAATGGAAAATAGGGAAAAAGTTAAGAGAATACTGAACTCAGTAAAAATGTCTTGTAATGTTTGAGTATCTAGGAAGAAAGGAGAGAGAGGGATAGGGTAGCAGCAGCATTGAGAGAATCTCTGATAATTGTCCAAAATTTTGCACGTTCAAGATGTTCAGTAAATCCCCAAAAATATAAATTTAAAAGAAACCTATATTCAGATGCATCCAAGTGAAACTTCTGGAAATGAAAGACAAAGATAGAAATAATCTTAAATCCAGAAGATAAAGTCTATTACTTTTTCCTCTCCTGCCCGCAAACTGGAGATTGAACCCAGAGCCTTGCACATGCCAGGTAAACACTCTACCACTGAGCTACATTTCTAAATTTTATTTTGCAACAGGGTCTTGCTAAATTATATAGGCTGGCCTCAAGTTTGTAATCCTGCTTCAGCCTTCCATGTAGTTGGGACATGTTTGTGTTGCCACTGTGCCTGGTTGTTTGTTTTGAGGGGGAGATAGATATGACCCCCTGACTCACATTTGGCAAGTATCCTACCACTGGGCTACACCCCCAGCCCCAGCCCCAAAACTTCCTTTAACAGTAGCAATAATAAAATTGATAGATGACTTAACAAAAATGATGGAAGCCAAAAGACAGTGGAAAATCTTCAAAGGGTTGAAAGGTAATAATTACTAAGACACAGTTCTACACAGAGAAATTATCCTTCAAGAATGGGCGTGGAAAATAAAAAAGAATGGGAGTGTAACATTTTCAGACAAAGAATAAAAACCAGCATTCACTTCCAGGTGGCCCTAGGATAGCTGTCCAAATCTAAATCTTTCTATTCATTCTCAAAATGATTATACAAATCATAAGTGCAAATGAAACCAGACATAATTCATCCTTTCAGCATAACTAGAGAAAGAATACTACAAACTTCAAGTTTTCCGTGAGAATTTTATTGCTAAATTGCAAGAAGCTATCTCAAGTTTCTACTGCAAGCCTTTGTAGAGAATGGAGGCCAGAAAGGCAGGAATCCAGAAAGATGATGCAGAAAAGAGAGACGAGCAAAGGGAAGAGGGTAAGCTAAAATCACTCTAGAGAAAGCCTACTGTTGTATTTTTGGGGTTTGGACAATGTGAGAATAAGGGAGGAGAGAGTACAGTGACAGAACATTCCTTTCTGAATTTTGGAAGGTTACTCTGAAACCTGACAAGTGATTCCTGAAACCAACTATGTCCACTAGAGGGCACTTGAAATGCAATTTGGCATCCATGCTGTAATTACCATTTGCCTTCAAAATTAGCAGTACGTGACACTTTGTAGTTAGTAATTCAAGAAAAATGTGACTAGTTTTTGTTTTGGAATGACATTTTGGGGGGTCAGTTTCCCCTAATTACAAGTAATTGGAATATTCTCACAGAGAATCTTGTAGTTATTTTACATCATTCCTATTGGACTCCTGGACCAAGCATTTTCCATTCCTCCTTTTACTCTGTTAAGTTAAGTACCAGTGATCCACTCTGTATTTAACAAAATCTTTAATATCTGTGGTGATGGAAGTTTGCTGCCTCAAAGCACCGCACAAAGCTTCTGAAACTAATACCAGACATCCAGGTTTTCCAAAAGTCCTTGGGTGACCTTTATCATTAGTCATCATTTCCTGACCTACTTTCTCACAGTCTCTGTCTCATCATTTGATTCCTACACCTCACTCTCTCTCTCTCTTGATATGCTTTGTGAAACAGAAAATTCATATCTTAATGTAATGTGACACAGGTCTCCACAGAATACATACAGCAGGAAAAAAATTTCTATCATTTTGCATCTTCCCTCCCCAGTATACTCATCCAAATTCTCCAGGCCTTGTTATGAAATATTGAGTACCATAACTCTTTTGGCTAGTGTCTTCCAGTCAATTTAAGAAAAGCTTTAATTTTAATGATTAATCTTTTCAAGCAGTTAAATAGCATTCTGAATTTTGTTAAGTTTTTATCTCTATTGAAAAGCTTCAACTGGGGAGGAAGGTGGCCAGCTTCTCCCTTTTTCTATTGTGCTTCTCCTTCCTGTCTCAATACATCTGGCTACTTCTGAATTTTTCAGAACTAAGGGAAAAAGAGTAAGTAGGAGAAGCAAAGGTGAAGGAGGGTCTTACCTCACTGGAACTATGATGATCCATAACAGATGGCCTCTGAGCACTCCCCCCCCACACACATTTTTTTATTGGTGTATTATAATTGTATATAATGATGGTTTTTTTGTTATATATTACAAAATAACTATAATGGCTAATATCATTCTCCAGCACTTCCTCCTTTCCCTCTTCCCACTTCCTGGTCCCTTTCCTCTACTGGTGTCCCTTTGATTTTTTTTTTTATATTTATTTTTAGTTGTAGTTGGACACAATACTTTTATTTATTTATTTTTATGTGGTGCTGAGGATCAAATCCAGGGTCTCGCACCTGCAAGGCAAGTGCTCTACTGCTGAGCCACAACCTCAGCCTGGTATCCCTTTGATTTTATTTTAGTTTTTTAAAAATATTTTTTAGTGTTGATGGACCTTTATTTTATTCATTTATTTATATGCGGTGCTGAGAATTGAACCCAGTGCCTCACACATGTGAAGCAAGCACTCTACCACTGAGCCACAACCTCAGCCCCTCCCTTTGATTTTAATGAGCTCCCCTGCTCCCCCACCTGTCTTTTCCTTTTTCCTTTTTAGTACCCATACATGAGAGAAACTTTAGTTCTCACACATGAGAGAAAACATACAACACTTGATCTTCTCGGTTTGGCTTGTATTGCTTAACAATGCTCTCAAGTTCCATCCATTTTCCTGCAAATGTTATAATTTCATTTTTCTTTATTACTGAAGAAAACTTCATTGTGTATACATACCACATTTTATTTATTCATTCATCTGTTGATGAACACTTAAGCTGGTTCCATAGTTTGGCTGTTGTGTGAATTGTGCTGCTATAAACATGGGTATACATGTATCACTGTAATATGACTTAATTGTGAGAAATACCGAGGATCAGTATAACTGGGTCCTATGCTGGTTCCATGCCTGGTCTTTTTTTGGGGAGGGGGGGTTTCCAGGAATTGAACTCACTGAGTCACATCCCCAGCCCTATTTTGTATTTTATTTAGAGACAGGGTCTCACTAAATTGTTTAGTGCCTCGCTAAATTGTTAAGGCTGGCTTTGAATTTGCAATCCTCCTACTTCTGCCTCCTAAACTGCTGGGATTACAGGTGTGCACTACCACGCCTGGTCCCATGCTCAGTCTTTTGAGGAACATCCATACTGATTTCCATAGTGGTTGTACTAATTTACCCACCAACCTTGAGCGCTCTGATCTTGACAATTGTTTAATGCTGACTATCAGGGGATGTTTTCTGTGTTCTTGGGAGACCTCTGTCACTGGAGATCTCTCATCTGAAGTTCACCAAGTGTGGGCAGTACCTCCTTGCTAGATTGGCTGTTTATGGCTCTCTGTCTCTGTCTCTTAGAGTTCCAGTTTCCTTTTAAATCCAACTGCAGGGTGGCTTTCTCTTGTAGCCCACCCACATCAGTACAAAGTCCCAGCAACTACAAATGCGGACTATTCCAAATGTACCCACTTCTCTTGTTCAGAGGAACTAGCTGGTTTCTTGAGGCTTTCCAACCGAATGCCAGGTGTTAACACTGTTCTCTATAGTCTCCATGGGCTCCAGGTCAAACTGTTGGTGAAGTCCCTTTGAAGCCCTCTAAGCCTTCATCCTTTTTATACCCTTGGGATGAATGTTGAGTCACCTGGATGCTGGATGCTAACTCTGCAATTCCTTCATCAGCTGTATAGTACATCATTTTTGGAATGTGGGAGTATTTTCCGTCTTGGACTTTAGGACATTAGTGAAAATTACGATGGAGTCCAATTTTCTTTTAGTCCAATTTTAACTATCCATTTATTTTACAAAACAGGTAAGGTTTATTTGTGTCATTATTACTGCATTTTGGCCAAAAAAAAAAAAAGTAATAAAACCAATTGACCCATCGAGGACTTTGTTGGGTTGCTTGCAATATAAATTTCGTTAATACACTGATTATATTTTTATTTTCCACTTTTTTTCAGGTCCGTCTCATCATCTTGCCCCTGTGATGTCCGTCTTGTGCTCTTGTTACATAGATGGGAATGCTTCTCTAAGTTTTTTGAAGTTTTTATGAATGTATCTTTTGTTATATTCTCTCTGCTCTGTGACCACACCATTTATATAATTTCCCTGCAGAATATCAGAGAAAAATGGAATGGAAATGGATACTTAGAAAAAGAAAACAACATGGCCAAGGGTTTTATACAAGAACCCTCGAGTAATTTTAACCTTTGCTGTTTTTAAACCAAGGTTAACAGCTGTAGAGGTTGCTGCTGAATATTTGCCTTCACCCAAACTCACTGAGATTTTTTTTCTTAGAAAAATGGCTGGTCAGTACAATATCTTGTCCAGCCTACTTTCTCTGTTTTTCTTCTGATTCAAACTCCAATAAAGGACACTTTCATCTTGGTTTTCATGATAGAAATGAAAAGGGAGGAAAGTGGCTTTTTGATTTTTCTCCAAAACTTCTTTTTAAAACGTATTCATTTACTGCAGTGCTGGGCTTTGAACCCAGGGCCTTTATGTTTGCCCAGGCAAGCACTTTATCACTGAGCTCCCTTCAACATCTTTGGTGCTCTCAGTTTCCTTTTTAAACTCAGTTTTCTTTAATGACCCATGAATAGGTCTGATTATTTGGGCACAACATGAGGTT